TCTCACCACTCAGTTCTTATCTCTACTTTATGTGATGTACAAACTGTCTTTGCTTTGTTTAAAGATAGCTCGGCTCAGGATATTACCTACTTGCAAAGACTGATAAAATACATGGCAGGCTTGACTACACGCCCTCTTGCCCATATTTATCTTGGATTTTTCTGCGGGAACATTTCTACAAAAAATGCAATTGTCAAATGTTATTCTCATTTTTTTAGGGTGAGGAGAAAAATGCTTTCGGCAATTATCGTCTTGTTTCTACATTGCCAGTGTTCTCTAAAGGGTTGGAAAAGTTATTCCATGCTAGAATTTAGAATTTTGCAAATAAATTCGATCTGATGAATAAATGGCAATATGGGATCTCACATAGGAAGGTCCACTGAACTCTCTTTGTTAATTAAAAAGAACATAATTGTGCATGCATTTCGTAAACAGCAGCTGATCATAGGTGCATGTGTAGTTTTCAGAAGCGTTCAATCGCTGAAAGAGACACTAAGGGCAAATATTAAGTCAACAATGATTGCGGAAATAGCGATCCAGGAGTGGTCATTGTGGTACTTTCATGCCCAGAAAATGCTTACATTTAAAGCATGTCATGTTTAATGATCTACACGGCGTTAGTGCAAATCACCCGACTGAAAGCAGGCCTTTTAATGTAGCAGTTGCCTTGCCTGATGTTTCCCACCTTTACTGCGTGAAAGCTGACAAATGCAAAAGCTTGCAGGAACGCAGGGTTACTGTGATGTCGTCATCTTGTGACACTTTGTGCATCCATATTCCTATACACAATTGTATTTGCCGAGCATTTTTGAAAGGATAAAGGGATTAAAGAGGCAATAATTCGTAAAAACATTGCTGCAACGCACTCACATCAAAAAGAGAATGCACGACTTTTCTGGTGGGAAGTAGTAAGCTGAAAAAATTGAAGTATTCGGCTGATAAATTGAACCCGCACATGTGCGTGAGCCGGGCTTTTGTTCCTTTGATCGGCTTCAGCGAGGAGTACACTCTGAACGGTTAATAGAAAAAAAAAATACATCTTCAGCTCTGCGCGTGCCATACTTTACAAAATTGTTTGCTACTCAGAGGGAGATTGTGGCACTTGCACTTTCAACAACCTATCCTTGCGCACAAATGCGACCTGGAAACCTGCAGTGTTGTGCCGATTTCAAGCTGTGCGTTGATGACCAGTGGTGACGTCACTAAAGTCACTTGTATGTGACAGCTAATTTCTTTTTTTCACTACCGGAGACCTCTCTATAGATTGATCTTGTTGAACATTTTTTTCGCAGCTTTCTGTTGCTTCCTGCTTTGGTGATCTGATGAAGCCAGTGAAGCCACTGATCTGATACAGCCAACCTGCTTGATCATTTGCCGACTTTCTTGCAGAGTTTTTTTTTTTTTTTTTTTTTTTGGACTTCAGGCCCACAGTCGTTTTGTCACCAGCGCTTCACAAAATAATTGCAATAATTAGTCTGGAAAATGTGGAAAATGATTACTGGCATCAAAAAGAGCATCGGCTCATTAGGGACTCCAAGCAGCTCTGTAGCTAAATGTTCATTCATCCAAACAGCAGTTCCTTTACTTTAACTGGCAGGGGATGGCCACCTGACCGAGTTGGCTTGAAGGCAGACTGCCCAAAAATCCCTCCTCCTCACTGCAATTTCCATCACTCACTTGGCTCAAACCGCGAACGTGAATCTCTGTAAATTTGTTGTCTTTGTTGTAGCTACCTAATTCTGACAAAAGAAATTCTGACAGTCTTTCGACTATGGGACCCTAGTCTGTAAAACGTTTTGTTCATTTTATGTGTCGTTACTTTGATAATAATAATAAACTTGAAACTTCAAAGTGTATAAGCATTTTTTCGTGTAATCTTCATGCTCTGGCGGGAAATTCTTGTGTGTTAAAGTTTGCTAACTTTAGCAATTCTAACGTGCACTGTGAATCGTAGTCCCTAGAAAACAAGTGGCACAACTCTAAATCTATGCAATCGGCAATAAAAAATCTGCTGCTTTCAAATAATATGCAGGTTCGCACACAAATTCACGAAATTAATATTTTTTGGCATAAGCGGTGATCACTATCTATGCAACACCACTTTACGTGGCATACTTTAAGCATCAGTAAACACCAATCAATTAAATGCCAATAAAATGCCAAGAAGGCAATTTGCAATGAAACAAGAGTTGGCACAGGTACCGCAGCACACAAATGTGTCAGCTTGCGCTACTCCGCATGCATTTCACGAGGACAAAAGCCTTGCCTGCACAAACGTGGGTATAAATTTTTCATCTGGGAGTACGCAGCGGGTGCGGCAAGAATGACCGATATTTTCAGCGGTACATATTTTTCCAAGTTTTCGTATTGCTTTCATATGTATATGCTACGGAAATAAAATTTATAACATGCAAGACCGTTGACTTAGTAGTGGGAGGGAGCCACCACTGACGCAAGTGGACGCCATTTTCAGTGTGATTGCTTGCCCTCTAGTGAAGAAATTTATGAACTACGGAAACAGATATATTCTCCGAAACATCGATACTAGTGGCCCACAGTTATAAAACGGAAACTGAAGCACGTGCTCTTCTTTAAGCGCCTTTGTTCATCCGAACACTTGTGCCGGTCAGACCATAAAGGGATAAGCAAACAGGCAACATCTCATTGGGTATTGTGATGCACAGTAGATTGTTTTTTTTTATTGCAACTGGTTAATTGTAGTCTGACACTTTGACGTCATTGGAATTGTTTCAAAATGTCCCACTCGGGGCACGTATAGTGTCACACATTTACCTTAATTTCTCGATAAAGAGAGCAATGCTGTTGATAATAAGGGTGTTTTAGACATTTGCAAACATTTATCTTTCACTCTGATGTAAGTTATTTGCCTTTATTGTCATGCTACGCAACCAGAGAAACTGGACCGTTATGCAATGAGAGGTGTACCAATTTCACTATTGAACTTCTACCTGGAAAGCTGTAGGCAGCATTTGCATATAAGTGAAAGGAGGTTACCTGTAAAAACTATTTCATTTGTTTATTTACAGTATCGTCAGAGAACAAATATATTGAGTACCCATGGAGTGAGCTTTATTCTTTACAAATAATACCACTAAGACAAAAGCAGTGCTTTTCCTACCAAAATTATATGGATGGGAAATGACTCTCGATAATATTTATGGTTACTAGTCAGTTATTCGAGTTGTATATAGCATCAAAACATCAGATCTATACTTCCATGAGCATATGGTTTGGGACATGTCAGTTATGTAACTAAGCAACATTTTAGATGCGTTGGTGTCATGGCAAAATTATGTGCATTACTACGTCTATCAAATTATGTACATCAAATATTAAAATGTCCAATTTTAAGTACCATGAAATTCTGAGCAGCCACCCCTCTCCTTTTTTTGAAAGATTTTAAAATACTTGCTAATGGCAGAGCAAGCGCTCCTTCCTCATCTGTTTCTTTTCGCCAATGAGGGCGAATGTCAGATGAATAATGACAACATATTAATGTGGATGCAACAAAGCAGTTCATTTCGAGCATGTGTGGCTTTCCGACACCATTTTGAATTTGATCTATGCACAATCTAGGGCGCTAACCTTCAAAAATTTTGTCAGTTTATCTTTCGCAGCAAATGGGGGGGGGGGGAGGAAAGGCTCATGTTTACATGTTAATTTTTGTTTGACACTCTTATCTACTGTACAAAGTACTGGGTCTTGCCCAATTCCTGTGGCACATACCCACTTCAGGAATATTTCGGTGGCACCTTGCAAAGTACAGTGGGTTACAACACTTTTGATGTTATAAATGACTTGAAGCCATCAGCCACCTTCAGGGTGACGAGGCATGTCATAAGTATGAAGCCTTACAGCACTGGTTCTCGCTGGAATGGAGCATCAGTTTCATAGCTACGTTCGGCTCTCTTCTGCGATCCTGTAGCTCTCTTTCGACTACAAAAGATGATTTGATGCGACACGACATTGATGTTACTGCTGTGCCCTGCAGTCCCATGGCACAGAGGTTCCCGGCAAACCTACCCCAGCCATTCGCCACAACAGCTGCACCTTACTAGGAGGCGTAGTCAGTGTGCTGATGTTGGATGCCATTTCATCAATGAGAGAAGCCATGACGACTTTGATTAGCGCAGTTGGAGGAGCTAACCCTTGGTTCACCGTTTCCGGAACACCCTGGTGCGAGTTTTTCTGTTGCCTACAGTGCCTGCATTGAAGAAACAGGAAGAGCCAATAGCACCTGTGGCTCAATTAACAAACCAATCGAAGCCTCTTGTGCTGCTTCGAGAGCAGTCGTTTATCAATGCGTGACTATCACCTTGCTCTGAGCTGGACTCATAAAATATAGGGTACCGTGTTTTAAGATGAATCCGAAAAAATTCTCAGTACACTCAACCCCCTAGTAAAATTTCCGTCACTCTGTATGCATCCGAATAAATAGATTTTAAGGGCCAGTATGAACCCGTTTCATTTTTTATTGAGAGGGTATGTTATGAGTGGTTGTTGAATATCGGCCAGTTTGACCGAAGTAAATAAACTTTACCTCACGGCATAAGTTTTGCTATGCACTCGGACAAGCTGAGATTTCACTGTAGCAAGCTGATGAACATTTTGGCAGCCTGCAGGGGTGTAGCCAGGGAGTAGCACTTGCGGTCCGTCCATCCCCCCCCCCCCCATCCCCCCAAATTTTTTTTTTCACAATGGCATAGAAAGCAGAAAATGACCATATTGTGGGGGTGCCTTTCTCTTCCCCTTCCCCCCAAAAAAAATTCTGGGTACAACCTTGGTAGCCTATCTTGAAGAAAGCGCCTAATAGCATTTCAGATTCTTAAAACAGTTGCTCTCTGGAGATGTAACCATCGGGCACATACCAAGACAAACTCATTATAGCGAAACAGATCTTGTGAGAGAACATTCATTTCTTTTCTCAGTGGTAACCTCTGGCATTTTTCCTCGCTACAACTGAATGCCATTTATTTCAGGATGACATCACAGCAGAGCCTGAGGGAGCACCGAGTCTGTCTTGTGATTTGGCACAGGGTGTAGAAGCATCGCCAAAGCCAGCATGTGAACCGAACCATGTTGCAAATAAATCGATTCAAGTGCGACTACAAACCCGTCATGAAGGAACACAAGCCAATGAAAACAAGATTCTGTCAACCCACGCTACGCAAACAGAACCTCAAGGTTATTGTTCAGGTATGTCTCCGTATTTGCCATAACTTAAATATATTGTCTGGGTTCCACCGCAAGGGCTAAAGAGTGAATGCTGTGGCAACAAGTAGGTATGTTACGCGAAGTAAGGTTAGCAGTTCACAGCTCTATGATCCAACCAGGCTCCATTCTGCAGATTGTTGACGTAAAGAAATATGTTCGTTTCAGTGCAAAGTAATTGATGAGAGCGCAGCAAGTATAGTGGTTAGAAAGTTTTGAGCTGTCCATTTATTTTTTTTGAGACAGCATGCAACTTCACCTGTTTAATCAAAGTTTACTGTTGATGCACTAGCAATTCACCCTTGTCTGGCGCCCGTTCATGTGTTATCACATTATGGACATAGCCGGGGCATTTGATCGCTGCTTGAGCAGTAATTTTTGCAACCCTCACACTCTTTCACTAAGACAGAGGACGTGATGTGCCGAACGACTATATCTACTCAGACTTGTATGCAATCTAACTGCAATAGAGGTCATGCCTGCCGAGCTAGTGTGTGTGCCAGCGATCGCGCCCTTATTGGCTAAGTCTACAGCTGCTGCTTGAGCAACACCTCCCCTCCCTATCCTCGTGTTTTTTCATGCTCATTCAAGACAGGCGGTGTGTTTTTTCTCTGCTTCGATGACAGGCCTCTCGATTGGGGGTAGTTATCACATGCGCTCTCTGGGCAACGGAGTTGGGCCAGCTCGTTTGATCTCTGCATCAGCAGCTTTCGTTGCCCCTGCTTACCCTCAGGTTGAACATACAATGCGTGGGTGTTATTCGTTTGGACTTTATGCGCGACATGACTTCAATGGCCACAGCAAAAACTGTCAAAAGGTGCCCATATAATTGCTATCGCAATAATAAGGCCATGCATAATTTGACTTAATGGTTGAAAAATGTTGCTTAACAAGTGCCGTGAAACTGGGCTACATCTGATCTGAATCTTTTGACTGCTCTAACCTTACTTGAAAAGGCCTTTCTAGCTGCTCCAAGCCTGGTCCGAAATGTTTTTTTGTGCGCTCAAAGCCTGCTACGAAAGGTACTTTTGGCCGCTTTCAGTACTGCTCTCAAACTCATTTACCCTGTTCTACCCCTGATATGCATTGAAGCAGGGTGTCTACCAACCTGTAAAACCTGGAAAACCTGGAAAAGTCAGGGAATTTGAACACGCCTGGAAAAGTCAGGGAATTTCTGAAAAATCCGGCCAGGTCATGGAAACTGACTGTAGTCTTTCAGATCGTCACGAAAATATTCATTAGCATTAATCAAAGCTTTAAAAATCGCTCCTTAAACCACACAGAACAGCTAAGCAGAAGCATAGTTAAAAAAAAGCAGTGCATAGCTGGCGCTTCTACTTTCCGAGTACAACGTTACTCACGCGCATAAAATTGTGCGTGTTTGTCTTGGCCGCGATCTCGGCTCGGCTTAAGGGTTTTCTGGTTAGGCTGGAAGTGCCATCAGCAGAGGGCAAGGTGCACAGAATATGCGAGTCGTAATTATTTTTTTACTGAAATGTGTAGTTTACAGGTGCGTAAATTGGACTAGGATACAAAAACAGTAGTAGAGCAAATATGGTAATCCAGATCGGATCCAATCCAATCCAATCCACATATCAAGATGCCTGGGCTGCAGCCATAGAGAAAGAAGAAGACAAGAGAGGACACTCCGCGAAACCTGGCCTCAGGAAGTGCGTCACGATTACGTAATCAACTAGTGCTCTCATCAAACGTCAGAGGGCGCAAGCGCAAAAAAAAACAGTTATAATCAATGCAACAGAATTGTTTTCACAAAATAATAATTATACGCCCAAACTAAGTATGTTCTTTATACATAAAAACAATTTATTCAACACACCTTACGCGATTATTTTTCTTCAGCCGTACTGTCATAAACACCATCCACCCAGCGACAAGCCCATGCATGACTGACAGCGAGAAGCTTTCGTCGCTTTCGTCAACGTCGGCTGCGTCGGGGTTTTCAAGCGTGAGATAACAGGTGAGGCACGTTTTCAAGCAAAGCTTGTTGAATGACATGTTGTTGGTCTTGTTCGGTCATTTTTTTCAGAAAACGGTTACACCTGTGCGAATAAGACACCATGCAACAAACATAGAAAGATGCACACACACACACGTTGCGCTTCGTGTGTGCGAGTTTGTTTCTTACGTAGCGTCTCATTCACGCAGTTGTAACCTTTTTCTGTAGCTTGTAAGGACGGGGAGGTTCGCTAAAAAGAAAGTTTGCGGCTCTATGCGGCGGCTAGACGGGAACATTGTGCAACGTATGCAGTATAGCATAGGCGGCATGGCGTCAAGCCGAGGTGACGCGTGCTGCGTCTGCCACGGACGCGAGCATCTGTACCTTTCATCAGTGAAAGCTGGCACTGTTGACAATTTCAAAAATCACAAATTACTTGTTTCCTAGTTGGTGACTTCTCTTTTCTTCCACGTTCTACCAATTTATGCGTTTGAAAGAGTTGTTTAAGTTTCCCCATGCTACAAGCTTTGTAACTTGTACCAACTGCACATATATGCAGATTTTTTGAGCGTCGCTTCAAATAGTGACTGTGACATGACTGCAGAAGCTGCACTGCAAGGTGCGGATGAGCTTCAGTTTGTGTTATTTTAAGCCTCTTACTGACACATTGTCGTAATTTCATTTCTTCAGGACCTGCGGTAGAGGCTTCAAAAAGCGGCTCCCACACATTGAGGTGCCCCGATGAACAGGGTGCGATCAGTGTCGCGATTTCTTTTTTTTTTTTACCCAAATTGACTGTTGATCAAACCTCTGCAGGTGGCAGCTCCCTTGTAGCTGGTGAAAGAATTTCTGCTGACTTCGTCTTGCCGGAGAAAACCTTAACCAGTCGTTCAGCTGTCACAAAAGGAACTTGTGTGACCTGTAAGTTGTATGTTCACTTCAACACCAGAGTGGATTGATATTGAGACTTCCGCAGGCCGCTCGCAAGGTTGTTCCGACAGCACTGTCCGAGGCACTGAACAAGCTTCACAAGACCCTCCAGAAGATGTCTCCGCCAACAGCTTCACGTCTGAGTGCCCTAGAGAAAATGGTGACTATGCTTTTATTGCAGCTGTTTTTAATGTGCTATTTTATGTTTAGGACATTCTGAGGAAACTATCCTCAAAAGGACACTACGTGTGCACTTACCAAATGTAAGGGTGGGCTCTCAGTGATTTTCATTTTTTTTTTGTGCATTGTCAACATTGTGAATGGTTTGTTTTTAGGTAGTGGAATCGAAAACTTTGCACCACAGAAAGTTGTGCACCTTGGGTCTGAAAGACCGAGGAAAGTGCTCGTATGGGATTAGTTGTTCTTCGCTTTTACATCCATTTTTTTGTTTATTGCAGTGCGTTCCTGTGTGCCAGCGACAATGTCTCCATCAATGAAGTACAAGCAAACCATTAAACATCTGCAAGCCAAAGTAGCAGCACAGCGGAAAACTATCAAAAGACTGCGGAGACAGCCTCACCAAACTAACCACTCATTCGTTGCATACATTGTTTTGGTTACCCGCTATGAGGAGTAGGGACACTGTGTATTCGCTCGAAGTGATTTGCATAACCTTAAAAAGAATGTTAGGTGTCCTGTCTGTATTTTTGTAGCAAATGCGGGCGAACTGTGCACTTTGCTGTGGCTCGCTTGGTCACTGTGTATGCTTTATCTCTCCAGCTCAAGTAATATATCGATAACAAAACCGCTTGTTGAAATGTCTTCGAGCGGGTAAGAAACACAGTATGAAGTGGGCACAGTTCACGTTATCACGCTTTTTGTATTTTAGCTTCTCATCAACCTCCTCATCTCGCCCATAAAAATTTTCAAAAGAATACCCAAACTTGTAGCGTTTCATGGTGCTGCGGACGCTGCCATTTTATTTTTATATAGCTTGTGAGTGATAACGTACGATGTAAAGCCTTTGTGAAAAATAATGAGCCAAAGTGGTTTCCTTCTGCTATTTATTAGCCCTGTAATACCGCTCTCGTAACACCAATTAAAGTCCACAATTCTGGATAAGTGATGACTACAATCTATTTTAGCTCGCAAGCGTCACTTCAACACCCAGACGCAAATCACTTGGGATCTTAAGTTTTTGATGATAAGAAGAGTCACAAGACCTGCCAGTGTTGTAGCATAAAGTTTGTCTTTCACGTAGTGAGCAAGCTGCAAAGCCCTACCTTTCTGAGGACAAGCAGGCATCAAGTCTGCTTTTTTTTTCATTTTGGGCTAGCTGTTCTTAAGCACAGCCAGCACACGGCAGCTTTGCCTTTCTGCTATATTGTGTCGTGTGGTTTCTGTGCACTCTTTTTTTCTATGCATTATTTTGGTTAACCCCAGGCGTGATTCGCGACTTCATTGCTGTGTATATGTCACTTCTTCCTTCTTCTTCAGCATTGTGCGCTGTGTTTTTGCCATAGATCTTTACTTACCCACGGGCCCTATGTGTCATACTTCATCAGCTTCTCGGCTTTTGCCAACTCTAGCGATGTGTGCGTTGTCTGTGTTCTCTATGTATTTGTTACAATATTTGTTACAATTTATTTGTAAGGCGAGATGCATTTGTTGTCTACCTTTGTCATATTGTGCTTTTTATATTCTCAGACTCTACCTTGCCTTTGAATAAAACATTGCGGATACTCTGTCTCTTTGACTGATATATACATTGATCACTTGTTCCAAAAGAACAAGTGATTAACAAGTGAACAAAAGAACAAGAACAAGCGCGATGAATAAAAACGTAGTAAATTATCACTACCTGCATCTCTCTTTGTCATAACCTAATAGAAATAAAAATTAAAAAATAAAAATAAAAATTCAAAATTTGCGCCAGTGAAACCGAAACAGGAAGCGCACGCCACTTGCTCTCACCAACCACCAGGTGTGCTAGGGTCGATTGGGCCGCTGGGGTCTACGGGAGTGTCCACTCTTCACCTTTCTTTATTTCTCTATGCTGCAGCCCTATTGCCATTCTTCTTGTGATGCCGTGAGCATG